TATTCTTGTTTATTCTTTTCAGAAATTTTAATTTCCCAATGGATTTATAAAATTCATAATATAAGATTGTTAATAAGTAAAACAATCAGACATTGAAATGAACTCGTAAAAGTTTGTTTATGTGCTAGTTGATTAACTGATTTGTAATATTCATGGTTTTGATAGTTTATTTCTATAACTATTTGGGAATCTTCAGAAAAAATATATATAACAATGATAGTTTATCTAATTGTAAACACTTCAAGATTAGGATTTTTAGTATTGGTAAAAAAAAAGAAAACGTTCCACCCTTTATTACCATAGAAGGATGAAATAAACTTGACTGTTTTCAAGATCTTAAAATTGACAAACAGCTTTTTGCGTAGATACAAGTTATATAAGTCACCTTAAAGCAACTAATGTTTTTTAATAAATCTACAAACCTTCGATTTACTCCATGAACTCAAGCCTGAACTTTGTCCAACCTCTCATCTTTTCTTGGCCCTAATTCCCTTAATGAGTATGTTTTTAGTTGTTTTTTTCGCATGTTCTTCGGCACCTTTATTTGATTATTATTGAATTTTCTAAAGTTTATTATTTTGCAATTTTCAACTGTAATCACTTATTCTTATTACCTAATACAAGTTTTCTTGATTATTATTCAGTCACTTTTCTTCATATTTGTCAATTGAACCTATTAGCCAACCCATAAATTATTTCCTTCCTTACCCCTTGATTAGTACTTAACCTCATTTGTTATTTAGTCTCGAACCCATTTTTGTAATGCAATCTTTTCTATCCTCTTATAGACATATATTTGTCATACATAACTATATATATATACGAATGTACAGCTTATGTAAACGATTTCGTTGAAAAGAAAATTTTCTCTGCTAAATTCCATTTTTCATATAACAATCTCCTTCCTGGTTTGCACAGTTGAATAAATCACTCAGTTAAATTAGATGTCAACAATGACTGTGTCATTTATAAATTGTATATCTATTTTACAGTAGATCAACTAATAGAAATGAGATTGGTTTTGTGGATATTGTAGTAATTTCAATGGTTAAGATCATGAGTCATTTGAAGTTAGACCACCATGGAAAATCTGGAAGCACTGGACGGCCGATTAGTCCTATTGTGGGACTCCTCAGCAGTGCACATCCACGACCTTGGCCCCTACGAGATTCGAACCCAGGACCTAATGGTTTCGCGCGCGAGCACTTAAACACTAAACCACTGAGCCGGCCAGCATCCAACGGTTTTAATGTTTAACTTTAATTAATCCACGAAATTGAGCGACACATCCACCATTGTCATCAGTGAGTTACTATCTCACAACAAACCTGGTTGAACTCAACTGAGCTTCCAGATTTTCTATGGTTGTCTCGCTTCAACTGATTTATCATCTTAACCATTGTAATAGAAATGAACTGATAATTCAATCAACTTATATTCATATAAATTTAATCAGAAAATTATCTTTCTAGTTGACTAATCAATTTTTATTGAATCCAACTATCATCCATCTAATACAATCTAAGATAATAAAGCTTATATGTGAAGGCTTAAAAATTATTCTATGCCTTTTTCTCATCTCTTATCTTATATTGAAATAAAGAAGTGTTCAATACAATAGGATAATACTTTCCTATTTAAAATTGTTACATAAAATGAATTATCTAACAAATAATTATAGTATAGGTATCTTTAATCAGATAGAAGCATAGATTTTATGCTTGACTAATATTATCAAAATAAGAGCTCAACTATATATAGATATATTTATATAACCAGACAAATTTTGTATTGTTTTATTAAAATAAGAATTTTATACCTGCATAAATTCAAACCACCTATATATATATATATGTTTATAGAAAACTATTCTCCTAATAGAACGGTATGATTTTTAGTTAGTATTGTACTTAAATGATTATCTGTTGCTATGCAACTAAAATGATAGTTTATATAATGCACTTAAATATTCTCTAAAATATTAATAAAATGATACAATTATTAAATGATATTGACTTGGTGATAACTTTCGTCACGGATCAATATCTTTTGAAAGACCAATGAATACTAAGAGATTGTTTAGCGATACACATTCATGATTTACATATAAGATTGAACTCTAGACAATTACATTTCATTATACTTGTGTTAATTCTAATGAAAATGGCAAGAGAACAATGTTTAGTCAACATATCTAAACACTTTAGAAATTTTTATCATAAGCATAAGAACCTGATTTTAGCAAACTAACATTTCGATAATTTTAGTTGTTTGCTGACAGTGATTAGCTAAATAATATTCCACATACTATTTTAGTTACCATTCATTACGCCTTTATAGGAAAAATAATGGATCAAGTTCATTTTCAATAGAACTATTTTTACGTTGATCCCAAGTGTTATTATTTAGCACTTGTTTAGCTCGTTACAAATGAACTACACTGAATTTCGTAACACATACGAACCATAGTTTATGTGTGAGTAATGAAAAAAATAATACTTTTCACTAGTGAATACCCATGTAATCTAATCAAGTGATTTAAGCGGTTTCAAAACCATGTGAAGTAGTTATTAAATGAATTTGAAAGCTACTTTTCAGCTTTGTCAGTTTACTTGATGATATTCTTATTTTGATCTTTCTTTCGTTAGTGAACAGTAATGACTCTTTACTATGTCTATGCCTATCAAAATAATTTATGAAAGTTATACTGAGTGTAATTAAATTATAGTATCTTCTGTGATGCCGAAATATTGTTGATCTGATAGATTTCTTGATGAATGATTTAATATGTAATACGATTTTAGTGAAGTTTTGTTCTCTAAGCTAGATGGTTTAGTCGTGGGGCTTTCTTCTAGACGACCTAATCTGTACAAACTTCAAGTAGAAATGAAGTGTTCGAATTTCTTCATCTGTGACTCACAGCATGTATGGAAGTTTGTGTCGATGATGTCGTTCAGAAAAACGATGAAAGCTCCACTACCAAACCATCCATTTCACAAAACATAACTCCATCGAAATCATCTACCTGAGCTACAAATCTTCTTCACCTTCTTAATGTAACTCTTGATATTACTTCTTCAATCGGAAATCTTTTATTTCGATATGAATGAAATTTAAATACTTTAAAAACAACACAATATTGCTTATTCACTGTTGTTATTTTTCACTTTAATATTTGTATTAATATACTATAAAAAATGAACAAGACATTTAACTGGGTAAAAATAATAACTTCGTGACAGTTTTAAATAAAAATGTTTTCGAAACGGGTATGTCTTGTATATTTTAACTAATCTGCCACTTTATCCTGAAATAAACCTGAGCAATCGATTCGTTTAAAAAAATGAAACACTTTCACTCATAACAAACATGTACACATTGAATTAGCTATTATAAATAGATAAGTAGACAGACAAGTATATAGATATAAATTTTGAAGTTATCATAAATGATATGAAAAAAGTAATTACAACATTTACAACACAAAACTAACACGTTATGCTAGAATCGCTTTTATTAATATAAAGTAAATAGTGCAATTCATGCCCCTAAATTCCCTGGAACGGCCGAGAGTGAGGAGAGTCAATTCTTCCTCTACAAATGCTCTCACATGGCCACGAGAATACAGCCACTGCCACGGAAGTCCCACTCATTGCCTTCTCGCATCAACGGTGTTCTTGACGAAATCAAGAGGACAAAACGCGAATTTTTGGCGATTTAACCCGGTTGGTGAATATGGAGAATTCACATAGAGGAGTTGAGAAACATCGTTTCCAAACCAATGGTGCACATGGGCTCTAGGATCCTAACTAAACAAATGGCGTATGAACCAATTGTTGGTCACCAGCTACCATGGGACTACATCTCCTCACGTTGCTTCACTGCCTTGTGGATCAGATCTGTAGGTTGAAGGTTGAGGGTGTGGCACCCTAAGAAGACCAGGAGCTTTGGTCTGGGCACCCAGAAAGTATGACAACCCATACGCAAATCAAGTGACTTGTGTGGTGCATATTTATTCGATGCTTTTATATACCAATATTTATGTGTTCAAATAGTAAAATAAATAAACAAATAATTGAAATCAGAGTATTTTTAAGTCCAAACATGATAATTGAATTTATTTTCTATGGGAAAAAATTATTAAAATAAAAGCTGACTTGAAAGTATTAACATACCTATTTTAGTAAGGACATTTGTGAAGATTTTAATATTTTTTACCAGTTGAATTCACGAATGGACTTAAGCCAGTGGAGTTCAATCCGTGTCAGGTGTGAGATAGTTATCGACCTCAGACAATGAATGAAGTGTTGCGCTAGATCGTGTATCAATTGAAATCAAACATTAACACTGTTGGATGCCGACTCAGTGGTCTAGAGGCTAAGCGTTCGCGTACGAGACGTCAGGTCTTGGGTTCGATTCCCGAGTATGGGATCATGGATTCGCACTGCTGAAGAGTCCCATACTAAGGCGAAACGGTTATCCCGTGCTTCCATGCTTTCAATGATGATCTGACTTAGATCGATTGGTGAATCCAACTATTATAAATGCTTATTTTAATGATAATACAGTACATGCCGATGATATTCAATTATGTCTGCACTATATCACGAATTTATTTCAGAAGAAAAATTTGGATGATTCAGGTTAAAAGTGTGAAAGTATCTTGTTCACAAAGACAAAACACACTCTAAATCCCTCTGATTACTTGCACTTGAAGTAATCGTTACTGAAGAATGAATAGTTCTGGGTTGAAATGAAATTCCAGTCCAGTGCTCGCATTTTAGTCATCAATATTCAACCATCTGACAATTAGACTTAATAGAATGATTTATATGAGTACGACTACTCATCATAAATGACCCTTTCATCATTGTTTAATCTATTTCATTTAAGATGGTTAACTGGAGTCGATGATAAACTTTGCTAGTTAATACTTATCATTCCTTTCTTAATCTAACTTAATCAACTCATTATGTGATTTAATTTTTTCATTATTCTAGGACTAACAATAACTAAATTAAATTTATCTAATAATAATCTTAGTTATTTACCATCAGAAATATGTGATATGATTAATTTACAATATTTGGATATAAGTCATAATAATTTACGTGGTTACACTGAAGTATCTGAAATGAATTCAATTAATAATAATGAATCAATTCATCGTCATAGTAAATTAATGAATAGAAATAAATCAATTGATTTCAATGATAATATCAATGAAAAATTAGATAATGTACAATTACCAAAAGAGATGAATCGTTTAATTCATTTAAAAACATTAAAAATATCTTCATGTGATTTAAAATTTATTCCAAAAATTATATTTCAAATAATTAGTTTAACTAAATTAGATTTAAGTGAGAATTGGACAAATGAACTGCCTACAACGGTAAGTTAACTTTTATTATTATTATTATTATTATTATTATTAGTGGTAGTAGTAGTAGTAGTAGTAGTAGTAGTAGTAGTAGTAGTAGTAGTAGTAGTAGTAGTAGTAGTAGTAGTAGAAATATGGAGGGGGGATTTGTGGAGATTTTACATGTGAAGAGGTAGATACTCATTCTTGAGGAGTTCTATACTAGAACAAAATAGCTGTCTAATGCTTTAAGGTATTTAATGGTGGTTTAGTTGAGATCAGTTTGTGATTTCAGCATTTTAAAGTATTATTATCGTTAGTTGAAATCATGAGTCAATTGAAGCTAGACCACCATGGAAAACCTAGAAGCACTGGACAGCCGTTCCGTCCTTGTATGGAACTCTTCAGCAGTGCGCATCCACGATCCCGCCCCCCCAAGAGATTCCAACCCAGGACCACTGAGCCTACCGGCATCTGATGGTGTAATGTCGAACTTCAATCAATCGACGATATTGCACGACTGTCCACCATTGTTTTCAGTGAATGCGCACTTTTGAGGAGTCCCATATTAGAACGAAACGACTGTCTAGTGCTTACAGGTTTTCATTGGTGGTGTAACATTAATCCATTCATGACATCATTATGTGTTTATGTAATGTATACGATTATCATAAGATCATTCCAGCAAAATGACAAGCATCAGCTTTCTAGTGATATAATGTAAGCAGAATTTCTAGATCAGACCATAAATAGAACGTTGATCATAGTTAAGAAAGATTTCAAATCGGCTTAAATTAAAGATCTAAACTAACGATAATAATAACTGAAAATAATCATCTGCTCACTAGTGAATGACTTCAAGAGGCATTTTCTTGGAGCTCTAGTGAGAAGCAGTGACCAGTGGAGTTCAACTAGGCCAGTTGTGAAATAGTAACTCACTGAAGACAATGGTGGATGTGTCGCTCAATTTCGTGGATTAGTTGAAGTTAAACATTAACACCGTTAGATGCCGGTCGGCTCAGTGATCTAGTGGTTGAGTGCTCGCGCGCGAGACCGGTAGGTCCTGGGTTTGAATCTCGCAGGGAGCGGTATTGTGGGTGCGTACTGCTGAGGAGTCCCATACTAGAACGAAACGGTCGTCCAGTGCTTCCAGGTTTTCCATGATGGTTTAGCTTCAATTGACTTATGATTTCAACTATTGAAATCACAAAACCCCTTCTGATATTATTATCATTGTTGGCTCTGTCATAAAATTGCCTTCAAAAGTTCTGATCCACTAACAATTTAACAGACTAGTTAGATATATAATACATAATCGTAAAATTATTCAAATATTGTATCCACTATCACTTCACTGAATAAATTCTGTTTCTAAAAATATATTTTTATACAAGAAAATGATCAACACTATTAACAGAAATACGAATTATTTGATAAATAAAATGCGATTTTCATTGTTTCCTTTATGAAGTTTGCCATTGAACATTCCACATATTCTTAAAGGTTCTATCTTTAGAATCATGAGCCTCGTTGTAGATTTTTTTGCGAAACGAAAGGACGCTCAGTGGAGAAATCGTGTGAGATGACTCCATTTAATCAAGCGGTATTCATTATTTGTAGCCAGATAAAAACAGGTTACAGACTGATGAATAGAATAAGAAGTGTATACACATATGCGCTCATATAAAAACACTCAAAGTTGATAATTGAATAATTAGCGAGGTGAAAAAGTGACTCAAGATGAATGGATAAATTGACCTGTCCAGAAGCTAGAATAAGGTTTATGGGCTTAACATAGCAACCGACACTACAGAACTTCCTAAACTAAGCTTGTGTTTTTATCAATCGTTTCAAAGAGTAATATTAGTTGTTAATGCAAGCTTGTTCTTAACTTGAGCAAAACGGCCATATACACTTTAGATTGTTCTTAATTTCCTGAACATCTGGATAGTGTTAATTATTTTCTGAATGATAATGAATTCTCTGAAAAAATTTGTTTTGGTTAGCTTTAACACTTGCATCAATGTTTACTTCATGCTCTAGTGAACTATTGACAGTAATACCATACTTAATACGATGTCCAAAAAAAATTCATACTTTGTACACAGTTTAATCTAATTTGTCCTAAAAGTATGCTTAATGTATAAAAATAAACTTATTTCCTTCTGAACATCCTATTTATGGTAAGAAATATATTCACAGAAGAAAAATACCTTTTTCTTTTGTCTAATATTAAATAATATTGAATAAGTCGTCGAAACAATCCCATTATCTTCAATAATGATAATCAATATATTGCTTCATCATACTTTTATCCTGATGAATCATTACTTCATGAAATAGAAAACAACTTATTCCTATTGATATTAACAATACTAGATTTCTTTTTAGATATTATTTCCGTGGCGAAACTATGAGTTATGGAAGAATCAATCAGATTTAGGATAACAGGTCTTGGATTATGACGCGAGATTCATTCATCCGTTTAGCTAAATAGCGTTTTGGCATTTTAGCTTATGTCAGTTCGTGATGAAAACCATAAATCTAGTCCCTAATCCTATCCATCACTTGTAAATCATAATCCTTATTCTTCAAACTACTTTATAATCCTTATTTAGCTACAGTAAGTAGATGAACATTCTCTATGTCACTTTAGCGTCGCTCAAAGATCGTCCACAAATCATAGTCTCACCATTTCCGTTTGTTAGATATAGAGGAGATTTTTATCTAAATTCTATTCCAAGTTATAATATCCTTTATGTATTTTTTACTGATTTATCTATAATCTATTCATTACACTTATGATTACCTTCTTTATGTCATTTCTAGATAATTTATAAGCTTATTAAAATCAATAATATGCAGTTGGAACAGATTAATTAATCTTTTTTGGAGATAGTTTTTGTTACTGACTAATAATAGCTAAGAAAGAACTGAGAATTAATCTCTAAAACTTACTCAACGGAATAATGATTAACTATTAAGAGAATGTCTTAAATTCTTTTAAGAGATTGTGACATACATTTTATAAATGTTCAGAGTAAGGTGAGTACGACTATAAACATTAGATGACCATTGAATAGATTAAATTAATTAAACATAGTTTGAAAATTAGATCATGAAATTCTTACTCATTAGTTTAAAGAATACTCAGGTTCCATAATTCGTGAAGTTTGTCGCTGCATTCCATCAACCGTTCGATGATGAACAATATTGATGAACTCAAAAATAGAATGAAACGTTTGCTCAGTATTCTCTGATTTCCAGTAGTTCTCTTGCTGGTTTCATAACTTTATGAAAACGGTTCATAAATGGAAACTAATAACATGAACAACCTTACTTCAATCCAGATCCTATGTAAAGATTTATCACTTACTTAACTAAAGTATTCGTTACCTCTTGAGAGTCTACATAAATATTGATAAGATAGGAAATCTAGAAATTTGGAAATTTTCAAGGCTTATATTTAATTACATTTTGAAACCTTATACACTTTTAAAATCCCTCTGTAAGTTCTCCCTTAGATGGGTACACTCCATGTCACTTGTATGGTATTTTAATTTTACTAGTAATGTGCGTCTTCTTATTAGTACTGGGGGTGGTCATCTCAATAGAAACTGACCACTTGATTCTTTAAGATTATGATTAAGTAAATGATCAAATTATTGTTTGATGAACAATTGACATTTGAACTGGATACATTTTATGATATCTTCAAATACATGTCTAGTTAGGGTTACAAATTGATCTAATCTACGTTTCAAATCTGAAATACACTTGTGGATCTCTTGTCCCCCTTCAGAGTTTCATCGATTAGCTTCATTGGAAACAATGTTAGTTATTTCAACTTTCTTACCAGATTTTTAAGTAATTCTTACTCAAACTACATTAATGAGAATGATTATTCATTTTAAAACAATGGTGAAGATCAAATGGAAATGTGGTTATTTCCCTAGTACTTTGTAATTTTGAAATCATGATTTCACGATTTCAATAAGTAATATCTAAATTCCATGTACTTTTTGTACAATTACACATTAATATTTCCAATTTCAGTGTAACCAGTATATCGTTATGTTATATCAAAATTATTATTAATCTACGACTTACATTGACTGTCAACAACCTATTGACTTTCTTCAAGACATCTTTATAAACTAATTATGATTCTTCTAACAACTGAATTTTAAATAACCAATGAACACAAAACCTCCTTTTCTTTTCGATACATAGATAGGTAACTTGTTGGAGTTACGTTGTCTAGTGGCGAAACGAATGGGACTAAGTACCTTACCAATAGAGATCATTAATTGCTCTAAATTACGTACAATAAATTTATATGGAAATGAGATAACGTCACTTCCTGATGAATTTTCAAAACTTTATAAATTAAAAGCCTTGCATTTGGATTATCGACACTTTATAAAAGCTTTGATTAAACCAAGGAAGGTTTCCAAAGTTAAAATGGTCAATTTTATTGACTCAACTGATGAAGCTGGAGAAAATAATATTACAATAGAAGTAAATAAACCAAGAAAATCTATTGTAGCAGAAGAAACTGCAATTTCAATTGCTGAACGACTAGATACATTACTTCGATCAGGTCAAATGAAATCACATCATATACCGACCGTCATTTTTAAACTACGAAGACTCACTGTAAGTTTTCCTATTCCTTACTTTGAAATAACTTTATTATATATTATGAATAGTGATTAACAATAGAATTTGCAATGAGCATTGCATTTTATTTTAGACTCATCAGTTGTATTCGATTTCACATCACACATTAAAATATAAATTCAGTACCTATGTTTTTAAATGTCATTAGCTAGGCCACAGGGTTGCACTGTCAACCACTGTCCGATACATGATCAATTTGTAAATGTAAACATTGCCATTTCATCTATTCAAGTGGATCATAAGCAAACAGTCACTTATCATTTCAGTCTTTAATAACGTGAAAAAGTACGCATAATCAATAATGTGTTGATAATTCATTATTTTCTGATCGTTTTAGTGATTTATCAACACTTTTATTATCGCTGTATACGTTTTAAACCTAAAGAACTTCATTTATTATATTGAAGGTGAGAATAGTAATTTTTCCTCGTCATATTTTCACAGACTTATCAATTAGATATGCTTATACTGAACAAAACTTCCCTATTTTTGAGTTTACGAAATTCAATATTTTAATCGTTGAGAACAGTTCGAAGTTGTTTAAATGAAACATTGATTTTTAAATCTTGTTCAGTATTATTATTTGATTGAATAATTTATTAATTTCTTAAAACTCATATTCGACGTAATCAACTTCAAAGCTATTACTATATTGAGATCCGACTTTGCTAGATATTACTCCTGTCATGACAATAATACCTTGTCTACAAGATTTTCAGTTAGCGCCAATACATAAAATCATTTTCATAAATAAAATAACTAAACAGTCAAATAGTATTTCTAATGAATTATTAATTTAAATAAAGACAGCATGAAATAAAAAGGTATTGCGTCATTATTGAAATTTGCAAAAGTTAATGAAGCATTTCAAGTGTTGAATATAATTGACGTAATAATTAAACAAGAATTACTTACCAGATTGGGGATTTGTGGATATTGTAGCAATTTTTAATAGTTGAATTTCTGAGTCGATTACAGCTAGACCACCATGGGAAATCTGGAAGCACTGGATGATCATTAAGTCCCAGAAAGAGAGTTATGAGCAGTGTGTATCCACGGTCCCGTATGTGGGACTCGAACACAGGACCGTTGGTCTGGCGCACGAACGTTTAACCTCTAGACCACTAAGCTGGCATCCAAGTGTTAATGTCTATCCTCAACCAATTTACGATATTGAGCGACTGTCCACAATCGCCTTCAGTGAGTTACTGTCTCTACAACAAACACGGCTGAACTCTACTGGCCACGGCTTCTCACTAGAACTCCAGGAAAAACTTCATGAAGCCAGTCACTAATAGAAATATTACTGATTGTTCACTTGACGGATATAAGGAAAATAAGTTGAAAATGAATAGACATTGTCGCTTGGTTCAAAACTTTATGATACTTTGACAAGAGATAATGAACTTTACACATTTCCATTTTATGATAAGCTAATATTTGTAAAACTATCTAAAAGTAGATTGTATAGCTTTACTGCTGCCTAAAATATTTTCTTCTTTGGACTGTCACTATTTGAAATAATAATTTAATGGTTATCTTTGATTGAATACATTAAAATGAATTTAATATTGGCAAACTTTTCAAAACTTTCTTAGAAATAGCTACTTTCAAAGGTCAAAGCTAATATATATAGTTTACTTAAGTTGTTTTTGTACACTTATTGAATCCATAGTTAATTAATATTAAGATTAACGTCAACTGAAGAACTGTTAGTAATCAATATAGACATTGTGCCCTACTGTCGGATATTTAGGCATTTAATACATTCATGAATCTACACTAGATCAAATCACTTGAATGAAACGGAAATGTTAAAGATCTTCGGATTTAGTGGTTTTGTAGTAGACGAGAGCACTATCGGGGACAACCAAATGTATTTAAGTATAAAATTACAGAATCTCTTAGTAAAATCTGAGAACCGTGCAGTAAATCCTTCATTTTCAAAGCGTCAATCCATTGTCTCAGACTTGAGCGTTCCTTCGTTTCCACATCAATCATTCTCTATTCTCGTTCTCTTTTCTTCGATCTTCCTAACCTTCTACCACCAGATATTTCACTTACTTATATCTGTCAACGTCAGTAGCTCAAACCACAGTTTCGTTATACACCGTGATCATCACTTAATGTTATCATTAATCTGCCACCACTCCACTCATAAATTACTTGCTTTCACAAATTAAGGCTGATGCTAATTGATAATAAAAACAATATTTATCACAAACAAAAAGTTAATTTTCATTTTTTCTTCTAAAAACCTTGTAAATTATTTTTTTAAAATTTCAAATCTATAGACATTACATCTTGATCGTTGCCAGTTAAACTACATTCCAGAAAACTTAACATTACTAAAGAGACTTCGTGAACTGTATTTATCAAGAAATTATTTCAGAGAAATTCCACAAGGATTATTTACATTATATAATACACTGGAATACTTAGATTTATCTGAGAACAAATTAGATGGTGAAGATGATAAGTCAGTTTTATTACCAAAAGATTTTGGAGCTAAGTTTCAAATGCTTAAAGTATTAAAATTGTCTTCAATGAATTTAACTTGTTTGCAAAATGGAGTACTGTGTGGAATGATTGGATTAGAACTGTTAGATTTAAGCCGAAATAAAGTGAGTTAAAAAAATTTTAAAATATTTATTACATTTTCAAAACATTGTTAGGGAATAATACGGTTTAGTCAAGAAATTTGGGGGTTTTCGAAAGACACCATTCGTGAAGCCAGACAATTTTCTAGTTCATAATCAAAGCATATAATGAGTATAGAACAACTATACACCTGAGGCTGAAAAAACAAACCGTCAAATGTCGTGACTAACTATAATTCATGTAGTTTGAACTCATTGGTTTACATTTACCATACAGGATGATCATCATTCAATATGACTGGGTTAGGTACTAGCTTCACTTCTAGTGGATTGGATTTTGAAGTTACAATATTTACATTGAAACTTTGACGACTCCATTTTTAAGCTATCCATATGAAATTTTATTCGAAATATGAAGAAATAAAGATTTTGAGTTTGCTTGTTATTTTATCCCATAATATTTGCATAATACCATTCACAATATAACGAAAATAGTGTATCCATAGTTCCTGTTTGATCAAGTATGCCTGTCATTATATATTCACAAATCATTCATTGTTATTTCTATCCTTCTGTTTAAGCTAACGGTAAAAAATACTAAACATTAGTTGGTATTTTATCGATGCATCATTCATTTTGATTTATTCAAAACAAAATATTTTCTAATTATCAAGTATATTCTATCTTTTTTACTAAAATGTTTTGGTGTATTCCTAATTCTAAGGCTCACTTGTTTGAAGTCAGAATTCGTTGCTTTCATTTCATAATATCGCATGCTGTTAGATATTAAGAAATTATCCAGCATACCTAGTAGATATACCATTGACGATGTTAGTGTTTAATCAGTTTATATATAGGAGCACCGAATACATATGCACCAAACAAGTCACTTGATTTGTGTGTGGGTTGTGATACTGTCTGGGTGCCCAGACCAAAGCTCCTGGTCTTCTTAGGGGGCAACACCCTCAACCTTCGACCTGATGGTCTGATCCACAAGGCAGTGAAGCAGCGTGAGGAGATGTAGTCCCATGGTAGCTGGTGACCAACAATTGATTCATTCGCCATTTGTTCCCCCAGGATCCCAGAGTCCATGTGCACCATTGGTTGGGAATCGATGTTTTTCAACTCCTCTATATGAATTCTCCATATTCACCAACCGTGTTAAATCGCCGAAAATTCGCTTTTTGTTCTCTGAATTTCGTCAAGAACACCGTTGGTGCGAGAAGGCAATGAGTGGGACTTCCGTGGCAGTGGCTGTATTCTCGTGGCCATGTGAGAGCATTTGTAGAGGAAGAATTGACTCTCCCCACTCTCGGCCGTACCAGGACATTTGGTTATATATTTCCATATTTTGGATGATACCTCCTGTAATTACCACTGGATTATAAATTATGCTGAAACACTTACAAATGTACAAATGAACAGTGCCTTTTACATGACTAAGCTGATTCACGATTTTTACCTAATTCCAGACTATATAGTTCGACATTAACTTGATAAATATTTATTTCTATTTATCATTTTACTAAAATTTACAAATTCCTATTCTGGTTTGTACTATTTTCTTATAGATAAGTCAATTACCTGATGATATAAATAGCTTGATTAGTCTTGAAGAATTATTTCTCTCTGAAAATAAGCTTACATCATTGCCAAATACAATATGTCAACTCAAAGAACTTAGAACACTTGATGTAAGCTATAATCAGTTATCAACTTTACCTGGAGATTTATATTTACTCAAAAATATTCAGATATCTCACTTGTACAAAGGATTGAATAGATCTGGTCTTTGGCTTCAAGGTAATCCATTAACCAGTATACCACAAAGTGTATGGAAAACAATAGATACTAAACATTTATGGAAATATTTAGAAGTAAGTGGATAAAACTCTTTACTAACTCAATATTATTTTGTTATTTTCAAAGTGACTGTTTGTTATAATGTTTGAAAGCAAATACATTTTGAGTTAAAAGATAGTTTAACAATCAACAGAAACATATATGAACGATAATACTTGTAAAATGAAGTGATTAACCTTAAAGTAACGAAAGAAGTAGATGATTTATTATGAGTTAAAAAATATATGTTGAGATTAGTATTAGTTAAAAACAATCTAAGACCACTTGGTATTGTTTGCTTGTATCTTCCCACTGTTGTTTAGGATTGACGAGTCCTAAATTGGACGAAACGCTTGTCTTGGATCCCATTACTAATCACTATCCATCTTTGCTTATAAACAATTTAAAATCAATTTTTCTTTTCTTAATTTTACATTTATTATTATTCTCTTCGATATTAAGATTTACATTATAATAATTTTAACTATTCTGACAAAACATTAAGCAAGAACAAACAATTTTTATATAGTTTAA